TATTCCTACTGCATACATGTGGTAGTATTCCTACGTGTGGTAGTATTCCTACTGCAGTACATGTGGTAGTATTCCTACGTGTGGTAGTATTCCTACGTGGGTAGTATTCCTACTGCAGTACATGTGGTAGTATTCCTACGTGTGGTAGTATTCCTACGTGTGGTAGTATTCCTACTGCAGTACATGTGGTAGTATTCCTACGTGTGGTAGTATTCCTACGTGTGGTAGTATTCCTACTGCAGTACATGTGGTAGTATTCCTACGTGTGGTAGTATTCTTACTGCAGTACATGTGGTAGTATTCCTACGTGTGGTAGTATTCCTACGTGTGGTAGTATTCCTACTGCAGTACGTGTGGTAGTATTCCTACTGCAGTACGTGTGGTAGTATTCCTACATGTGGTAGTATTCCTACTGCAGTACGTGTGGTAGTATTCCTACATGTGGTAGTATTCCTACTGCAGTACATGTGGTAGTATTCCTACTGCAGTACGTGTGGTAGTATTCCTACTGCAGTACTTGTGGTAGTATTCCTACTGCAGTACTTGTGGTAGTATTCCTACTTTAGCATACGTGTGTAGTATTCCTACTGCAGTACGTGTGGTAGTATTCCTACTTTAGCATTACGTGTGGTAGTATTCCTACTGCAGTACGTGTGGTAGTATTCCTACTTTAGCAGTACGTGTGGTAGTATTCCTACTGCAGTACGTGTGGTAGTATTCCTACGTGTGGTAGTATTCCTACTGCAGTACGTGTGGTAGTATTCCTACGTGTGGTAGTATCCCTACTGCAGTACATGTGGTAGTATTCCTACTGTAGTACTTGTGGTAGTATTCCTACTTTAGCAGTACGTGTGGTAGTATTCCTACTGCAGTACGTGTGGTAGTATTCCTACTGCAGTACGTGTGGTAGTATTCCTACGTGTGGTAGTATTCCTACTGCAGTACGTGTGGTAGTATTCCTACGTTGGTAGTATTCCTACGTGTGGTAGTATTCCTACTGCAGTACGTGTGGTAGTATTCCTACGTGTGGTAGTAT